ATGAGGAATCTTAGGAATCAGGCAGAGATGAGTGTAATTCCACTCTTCAGGAAAATCTCCATTGAGAAAGAAATGCTGGACCTCTTTCACCACTTGATCTCCAACTATATGCCAATAATGTTGGAAGAAAAGAGCAGACATACCATCAGGTCCAGGAGCACTAGAAGGTTTAATAGAAAACATTGCTTCTTTGACTTCCTCCTTAGAAACAACACGAATAAGACCATCATTCATCACCGAAGAAACCTTAGAAGGAAAGTCAAAAAACCAATGGTTGAAGCTAGCAGGATTCGTCCAATGAAGAGCTGATTGAAATAGGCTGAAGCAACCTCACTTTTTGCACCTTCCGACTTTTGTTAATTCCCGTTAACATCCTAAGGCAAATCAATCCTTTTCTTGGCTGTACTGTTCTTAACCGAAGCATGGAAGAAACCTGTATTTCTGTCCCCAGAAGGCATCCATTTGTCTCTGCTTTTCTGTCTCCAATAATCTTCTTCTTCATTATAGGCAAGAGCCAAGTCTTTTTCCAGATTGTAGACCAGAAGGAATCTTGGGAATAGAGAAGATTGTTCCACTTCCAAAGCATTCTCCAGCTGATTGATCTTGTCTTTAGAATTCAGATTATTATTCTTCTTCCAAGAGCTTAATTCTTTCCTACAAAACCTTAATCTCTGAGCCACATCATCAATCCTATTACTATCAATTGAATTCCAAGCCAATAGAATGGTCTCTTCCACATCAGGTTTGTAAAGCAACCTTTTATCAAATCTGAATTGCCCTCTATAACGATCCTGAGAAGCAGTGAGCTTGATCAATACCGGTCTATGATCCGATCCTCTACGATCCAAGAAAGACTGATTGAAACAGGAAAGAGGCCGAACCATTCTTTATTTCCAAAAGCTCGGTCTAATCTGCTTTGTATCCATAGATCATAACGACGACCAGCCCATGTGAAGCTATTACCATGACTCGGGAGTTCAACCAAATTACAAGCAGCAATCATCTCTGAGAAAGGTTTAAAGATGTAATCACCTCTTCTTGGACCGCCAATCTTTTCTCCATTGTGCAAGATATCATTAAAATCACCGACTATACACCAAGGGTCTCTTCTTCCAACCCCAATTCTACTTAACCTTTCCCAATTGAGAAGTCTCTTCTTGAAAACAGGATCACCATATATACAAGACACAAAGCAAGAGACAGCTCCAAACTGAACATGAAAATCCAAAAGATTCTTATCTACAAATCTCAGATCCACTGTAACACCAGCCTTAATAAATAAAGCCAACCCACCACTATGACCTTCAGGTTCCACTGTATAAACTCTGTCATAACCAAGCGTCTCCTGCAAATCAACTAAAACATCACGACCATGCATTGTCTCCATCAAGAACAACATCTCAGGGAAAAGTTTGCCACGCAATTCCTTGAGACGGTGAATTGTCAGGTCTTGAGACCGTCCCAAACCCTGACAATTCCAGCTCACGATGCTCATTAAACATTGGGCGATCCCTCCATTGGGATCACCTTTGTTTGATTGGGTTTGGAGAGTTTGGATGGGGTAGACAACTCTTCCACTGCCTTTCTTTTGTCTTGCTGACCTATCTCAAAACCCAACTTTAAGATAGGTGGAACTACTTCTTCAATCACTAGATGTCCTGCATTTTTTCTCTTCTTCTGGACCAAGAAACCAGAATTTAACCCTTCCTCTATATTGACAGCTTCCTTAGGAACCAAAGAGGCAGCCTGCTTGAGTTTCCTGGTAATTTTGCTTGGTCTTTTTCTTTGCTTAGTTTTCATCGGAATATTCCCGGAAGAACTAGTTGCAAAGCAACCAGTTCTATACACCGTAGAAATATTCTGAGAAGGCTGAGCTAAGCAAAGGAATTCCTTTGGGTTAAACAAAGGAAGAGACGCAGGCTGGTCAACAAGATTAAGATCACCAACAGCAGAGATGAAGGAGGTGGGAACCGGGCCTGCACTAATAGACGGATGGAGCTGTGATGACTGAGAACCCACTTGATCTTCATAGCTGAACACAATGCCCTTGGACTTAGTCGAAACAGAAGCAACCACCGGAGGAGATTCCAATTGAAGATAAGACTTGGCCAATACTGGATCACTCTCAACTTCTTTAACTGATTTTCTAATTCTTTCGATTCTGATCAGCCTCTCATCCGCATTTGAGACATTGACATACTGTCTCATACCTTCTAAAACTTCGGGAGCAATTCTTTGGCGACCTGTGAAGGGATTAATCCCGACCTGATGCTCTTCCAGGATCCCAAAAAGCAAATCCGAAGGCTTGAGGAAAGGAACCTTTATCACCGGAACTCTAGAAGAACCTTTTCCTTTCGCATCTGCTTGTGCTTCTTTTTTCCTCAAAAACAGAGGGCAAGTATCTCTCTCATGGGTTAATCGCTGACATTCATAGCACCTTTTTTGAATCCTCTCATACTCAAACTGAACCGTAGTAGTACCTCCATGAGGCAAGTTGACAACCTTAGCGCGACGAAGAGGCCTAGAGATATCGAAAAGGACCAAAACACGAACATAAGGAAGAATCTGTGGCTTGTCGGGCTCGAATTCTACAATTTTAACTTGACCAATAAGATCCGCAAGAGAGGAAATGGCTTTAGATGTGTAGAAATTGATTGGAAGCTTCCAAATCTGAATCCATATGGGAATGAACTGAAGATAGCTGTCAGGAGGATGCTCAACCCATCTTTCTACCGCTAGAGCCCATTCGTTGTATGTATGGACTCCTTTTTCTAAGACTTCCTCGAGATCATGACTGGAATTGAAGATGAATTGGAACTTCTCTGAAGAAAGAGCAATACCACGGACTCGACCGATCTTCTGCCACTTCCGAGGCATGTCACGGATCAAGTGCTTCATCGTCTGACATTCTGGGTTCAGAGTACGACCTACCAAGCTTAAAACATTTCTTTCGCAAGATGAGAATTCAGGGAGATCTGGCATATCGAACGGGAGATCGTCTTCCTCAAGAGACATAGCCATCATAGCCTTATCCATGGCCGAAGACATGATCGAAATCGAACAGCAGAAAGAACAATGATGAACAAACAGAAAAAGCTTGAAAAGTCGATGTATTATATATTTGTATACTATATATTTGTTTTACATACGAACAATTATTTTTATTCTAAAACTTTTATTTTCTTGAATTGCACGTCTCTTTAACTGAAAATAAAATGTAGCAGGATCGAAGTTACGATTATGTTCGTGCTCAATTCTTTTGTTTATTTATTTGATTTATAGATTGCATACAAATAATTTTTGTCATCAGAGTATCAGATTACCTTATGGTTCTACACAAGTCACAAGCTAAGCTTACCTGATATTCACCTATCTTAGCATCACACCACTACACAAACTTTGACGGTGGATCCAAAGATATATATATAGAGAAGGTAGTTCCATCAGTACTAGCTCGTTTTTCATTTCTCCATATGTAAATCAAAATTTATGAACTATATAGTCTATATAGAGGGAGAGAATAAATCATACAATTCACTGCAACACCTTCAGGATTTCCGACAGCTTCTATAGTAGATTGACACTTTGATTCGGAACCGCCTATCCTCCTTGCATCGAGCTCACCATATATGGTTCTCAAGAAATTTTACATAGAGCTTTATGTATAATATTGGTTCACAATGCTTCTTGTCTTCTTTTCATTTATTTTTTAGAATTAGGTGGTAGTTCTTTCAAAGTTTATCAATGAAAAATCTTGGTTAAACCAAAACAAATTCAATAGATCCAGGCTCTATACCAAAATGGTTTATTGACAAAAAAAAAAAAAATGGTTTAATGTTTATGAGTTCATCCTTAATGGGCTTTCAAGCCCGTGTTGTCCCTATCATCAGGTCCAGTGGCCCATTGACTGGTATGATTGTCCGTCCATATATGACTACACCTAAAAATACAAATACCTGATTAGTTGTCACTTGTCAGAGTCTGGTCCTGAATCTGTACAAGCAGATTCACATTCTTCTTTCTTTTTTTTCTTTTTTTTTTTTGGATAACCCAGATATCCGGGCCGAAGCCCGACTAGCACCAAGGCTTGAGGCCGGTTCCCTTTCAGATCGTCCGAGCCCAACGTTTAGTGTGTTTTCTGGAGGTCTGCAGCCGCCATGTGAATACCGCAGTGGCCAACGCTAGCCCTCGAACTGCAAGCACCATATTGAAATTACCTCCTCAAGTGCCACTAGCCCAACCCACGTTGGTTGATTCACATTCTTCGTATGGACATAATGATCATAATAGGACTTCTTTAATTAACATGGATAAATAAATAAATTGGAACTACACTAATTAGATTCTTCTAGGTCTTGCCATTTTCGTATGATACACGCATTTAGTTAATTTTTAGGTGTGTAGTACTGTATTATACATGTGTTAGATAAAATTATCCGACATATTTTCATACAAATAATGTTTAGATGTAAAATACTAAACATAGTCTATACATTTTTCTTTGCCCAAAAAAAAAAAAAAGTCTATACATTTTTAAGTCATCCCTCACCATTACACATTATCTACGAAAGTATTAGTTTCTTTTATAATTTTCATATTAATTTTGAATTACAAAGAGAAAAATGTAAGACTGGAATATTTAGAAAAAAAAAACATTCTTCGATTATCATATTTAGTTTGAAAATCAAATTAAATCTTAGATTGAAAACCAGCGAATGCGCATATCATAATCTAGTAGATCTAGAGAGGAATGCGTTAAAAAAATTGAACGAAATAAATACCATTATGAGAAAACATTGATTCGATGAGTTGTGGTCTTGTCGATTCGGACGTGAATGGCAAAAAATATATTTTTTCTTTTCGTTTTGTTAGTTTAGGATAGGGAGAGAGGACAAATGGAAGCTTGCATACCAGAAGTACGACACGTAAGAAGTTGGAAGAAAACGTACGGTGTAAGTCATCTCGTCTTCACAAATGGGAAAAATATCATTTAATAGCCGAACTTTCAAATTGTAGCCATTTGGCACACCAACTTCACATATGGCCATTCTATACATGATAAAATCGTTGACTTCTTTTTAACACATGACAAAATCGTTAACCACACCAAAACAACACCCGTTAACGGATCCGCTAACACCCGTTAACACCCCGTTAACACCTCCGTTATTTCTCAAAACGACATCGTTTCGGTCTTAAAACAAAACTTCAAAAGCTCTCCAATTCTGAGAAATTCCCAAATCGATTTCAAACCCTAAAATTTTCAATTCTCAGCAATATCTTCCTTTAAGCTCGAAATCTTCTTTATTTTCATCAAATTCTCCGCCTTCTACACGAGATATGAGTTGCAAGTCAGGTAATTCGAGTGTTCAAGATGGAGGTTGCGAGTTCCGTGGGTTTCCTTCAAAGTGTCACTGTGGGTTAGACGTTGTCATCTACACATCGAAGACGAAGCAGAACCCAGGAAGACCGTTCTTCCGATGTCCAACCTTGAATGATGTAAGTAGATTTGATTTAGTATTTTTTGGGTTTGGTCGGTAATATATTTGCAACTATAATGCAGGACCATTTGTTTAAATGGGTCGAAGATTGTGTGTACGAAGAGGTTGTAGACACTAAGTCGAAAATTTCCATCATTGACAATGAGATAAACAATGCAAAATCTGAGGTTCAAGTCGAGATTTCAGAGTTAAAGTGGATGATCAATGAATTGAAGGAAAATGGAACGTGGAGCAAAAGAGAAATTAAGAGAATCAAAGTGTGGTTGGTCTGCATTTGTTTAACTGTTACTGTAATTGTGATCCTACTGTTGTTTACTACCAAAAACCAGAATCTTGTTATAGGATACTAGTTTCTTTGTTGTTTGGTATGAGTTTTAGTTGTTTGGTCTTTAGTGTTGTGTCTTGCTTTAATGAAATGCTATTTTGGCTTTGTGATCCTTGTGAGTTGTGCCTTTGGTAATGGAAATAAAAATTTGTCTTCTCTTGATCGATAAGAGTTATGTCAGAAAGACCAACAACCATTCATACAACTAAACAAAAAGAACAATACAAGTCATAGAAGAACCAAACAACAAAGTACTCCAATAGAAAGGTTTTGTTCAGAAACAAAAAAAAACTTCAGAAAATCTTCATCAATTAGAACACTGAAACCATGATGCAAATCTACCAAGCCCATGTCCTTCTGGTTGTGCTTCTGGTTGACCTTGTGACTCTGCTCCATGCGTTTGATGAGCTTGTGCATCGTGTGATTGATGACCTGATGTATCTTGTGATCCTTGTGATGCAAAATGAGGTTGTGATCCTTGTTGTGAGCCAAGAGCCGTGTGTGTTCCTTGTGAGCCTTGCACTTGTCCTTGTGATCCAGGATGAGCTTGACTAGGAAATGTTGCAAGCACTTCTGGCGCCTACCAAAAACCAGAATGCATTTAGTGAGTTGTCACATGAATTCAGTGAGTTGTAAAGCAGAAAACACATGAATTCAGTGAGTTGTAACACAGAAAAAGCTTTAAAACATACCGGCCTTTTTCTTGGTCTTCCTCTTGGTCTAGGTGGTGGATTCAAGACTGTTGCATTTTTGCACCCTTGCTTGTTATGCCCTTCTTGCAGGCAGTTAGAGCATGTCATGATTCTCTTTTCCCGTGACATCTTGTTCTTATTAGAAGAAGAAGCAGTCTCATTTCTTCCCTTTCTCCTAGCATGATTATTAGGCCTTCCTCTGTTGCCTCTTCTCCATGGTGGTGGCAAGACAGGCAACCTACTTGTTCTAGGCCACAATGGCATCCCTTGGACAGGCCTAATACCATCCCTATATGTTTCTCGCCACATTACCTTTGTATAATACTCACTGACATAGTCTTCAACCTTCTCTCTTTTGCATATTATCACAGATGCCGCATGAATACAAGGGATCCCCACCATCTGCCACTTCCTACAACCACAAGTTTTATTGTCCATATCTACAAAGTAACTAACACCATTCACTTCTATTTGATGCAAATTGTTTCTGGCCATATATCTCTCACAATTTCTAACCCCAGCTATCATTTTCTCAATCTCAAGATGGGCTCTCTTTGTGAATCTTGTCTTCAATCTGTCAGCAATGATATACCTCTTTGCAGTTCTGACCATGCATTGCCTCCGGATGTCTTCTAGCAAATCCAAAAAAGGCTTTCTCCTAGCCTGTCTAATAGTCCTATTAAAAGACTCACTCAGATTATTGAGGTTGTCATTGCAGCAAGTCCCTATTCTAAAGAAGGCTCTTGACCATGTCATTGGACTAGTAAGCTGCAGACTTGCATGAGCTTGAGGATTGTACTTCCTAAGCTCTTCCATATGATTGTTGAACTCTTCTATGGTGTAACTACGGGCAATCTTCTAAAAGAGACGTGTTAGTTCTATATCATGGTTGTCCCTCTTCCAGTTGTCCATTATATGCTTTGAACATTGTCGATGCTCAGCTTCTGGGAGTATGGTATGGATAGCTTTGACTAGACCCTGCAGAAAAACATAAGAAAACACACGAAAATAAGCTGAAAACCATTCATAAAAGACTTAAAACCATAAGCAATCTCTAATAAACCAAGAAAACTAACCGACTGTTTATCTGAGATGATAGCTAGATGTTGCATTTCACAGAGCCCCAAGCTAGCAGAGAGGTGTCTCATAAACCAGTCCCAATTATCATCGTTTTCTATCTCTACAACTGCCCAAGCTATAGGAACAATCCTATTATCGCCATCCCTTCCAACAGCAGCAAGAAGATGACCCTTTATATCCCATTTCAGAAAGGCTCCATCGATTCATATCACAGGTCTACAAGTTTGCTTCCAAGAATCCTTTTGAGAATTAAAACATATATATAACCGATAAAACCTCTGCTTGCTTCCAATAACAGGCCCTGGAACTGTCTCTATCTCAAACTTTGTCCCTGGATTCTGCTTTAAAACCTCAGCTTGATAATCCCATATTCTTGAAAAGTGATCATCATGACTAGCATGTCTTGCTCTCAGCACTTTGGTCTTCGCTTTAGCACACTGATCCGAGTTACTTCCAAGTTGTATTCCCTCTTAATTTCAGTACCCATCTCATTTTCTGTAAGTTTTGGATTCACTCTTAGCCTTTCCTCAAACAATAATGCAATTGAGGACCGCTTCAACATCTTAGAATAGCCTGACCTAACACAGATATGCTCACTGTCATAGGCTCTTATTTGCATCTTATGTTTTCTTTTCTCATAAGAACAATAGACTCTCCAGCCACAAGGAATACCATCATCACCAACATAGCAACACTTAGCAGCAACTATCAAAGCTTCAGACCTATAAAGTTTAATGCATACCTTGTCTTTAAGGAGTATCTCAAAAGAGCAAGCTTGAAGTCATCAGGAGTGTTGAAAGTTTTCGCCAGAGCTAGCAACACCTCTGGATCCTCTTCTTCACTTTGATTTCCCTCTTCTTCGGCTCTGTCTTCATCTTCGTCGTCCGATGACAAAGGATCTGGAATCTTCTCATCCTCCCAGATATCATCCCCACTGTCAGAATCAGTACCACCTTCGTCTCCTCTTAAAGCTTCAGGAAAATCTTCTTCCATGTTAACATTCTCTTCCACAGCTAAACCACCATTATCATCGTTGTCTCCACCATCACCATCAACTGCATCATCAACAACATCGTTATCTCCACCGCCAACTGCATCATCAATAGCATCACAGTCTTCATCACCATACACGGCGCAGTCATCTTCGAGGTCAGGCTCATGCACCATTTCAGGCTCTTCATCCTCCTCTTCTTCATGTCTGACTCTTTTTCATTTCCGACGCCGTCGTGAAGCTCGACCTTTAGCTCCGGGAGAAGATTGTGTTCCGCCAGCTAACTCTGAAGCTTCTTCCGTCGGAGGACATGGAACTCCATCTCCGACGACAACCTCTTCTTCTCTATCTAATTCGCCTTGCATTGCAGCTTCAATTACAGACCCAATCAACGATATGATTCATAATTGTTAGTTCATCGGAGAATCTCTTTCGAAAACTAGGGATTTGATTTTTGTGAATTGGGGATTTTGATTTTTGAAGTTTTGTTTTAAGACCGAAACGACGTCGTTTTGGGAAATAACGGAGGTGTTAACGGGTGTTAGCGGATCCGTTAACGGATGTTGTTTTGGCGTGGTCAACAATTTTGTCATGTGTTAAAAAGAAGTCAACGATTTTATCATGTATAGAATGGCCATATGTGAAGTTGTTGTGCCAAATGGCCATAATTTGAAAGTTCGGCTATTAAATGACATTTTTCCCCTTCACAAATATGTTTTGGTTTTTATCTTATGCTTTGTCTTATCCTACGTGGCCATTTAATCGTTCCATTCTTCTAAACCATATAACAAAATCAAATAATCGTATAATATCTTATCTACCGTAAAGATGGTGTGGTCCGTTTCTCTTTGAAGGTTTTTGGTTTGCATGATTCTCAACGGTCACATGGACTTTAATTTGAGATTAGGTTACAAAAAGTGAATGGGACGAAACCCATAGTTTCTTCGAATCAGGGATTAACATGTTTAATGATGTCCCCTATTCGTATATATTCGTTTATTCAATCATGGGACATTGTGTCCAGTGGCGGACCCAGAAATTATTTTTACCGGGGTCAAAATTTCTTTTCAATTATATCATATTATTTCTTGTTTTATATTATTACACAAACACTAAAGAATAAATTATACTTCTCAAGTTTTCATTTCTGATATGGGTGGAAGTAAAAAAAAAATTCACATTTAATCGTTCCATTCTTCTAAACCATATAACAAAATCAAATAATCGTATAATATCTTATCTACCGTAAAGATGGTGTGGTCCGTTTCTCTTTGAAGGTTTTTGGTTTGCATGATTCTCAACGGTCACATGGACTTTAATTTGAGATTAGGTTACAAAAAGTGAATGGGACGAAACCCATAGTTTCTTCGAATCAGGGATTAACATGTTTAATGATGTCCCCTATTCGTATATAGTCGTTTATTCAATCATGGGACATTGTGTCCTTTGTGTGGTGCGTTATTCAAACCAAAATTAGCCTAAATTAAACCATTCATTGCTTTTTGTATCAAGTTTGCTGCATATTTATTTGAAATTCGTAAGAATAAATTATACTTCTCAAGTTTTCATTTCTGATATGGGTGGAAGTAAAAAAAAAATTCACCCTCCTCATTACCTTCTCGTTCCTCTCTCTTTTTTTAGTTCACCAAAGTAACAGGTTAATTAAACCATGGATCGCATAAAGGATTTGGGGAAAACTTTTTACTATGTGTTGTTCATCTCAAGAGAATTGATACAATATATATAAAGACTAATTTAGGGTTAACCTAATTAGATTAGGAAATAGATAAGCATGAATATGTAAATATTCTAAATCTCTTAATCCTTAGCAAAATAGGATATCTAGACTATTTTTTAGCTTGGGCTCACGGGTTAATTTCACAAACGGATTTTGACGGTCCACATCTTGCTCCCCAAGATACATATATAAATAGAGCTTTATGTGTAGATCACAAGGCTTCTTGTGTTCTTTTCATTTCTTATTTATAATTAGGTGGTAGTTTAAAAACTCTTTCATAATTTATCAATGAAAAATCTGGTAAAACCAAAATAAATTCAATGGATGGTTTAACATCGATGATGAGCTCATGCTTAATGGGCTTTAAAGGCCGTATTGACTGGTTTGATTGTCCCGTCAATATATATTTACAGAGAAACTATATAGGATACTTTTATGAATTTATATAATATATAGGACTACACCTAAATCGAAAACCTGCAAAATACACATATGTCTACACGCATCTTGTAGAAAGGAATGCGTGAAAAAATTGAAACAAATAAAAATCATAATGAGAAAACATTGATTCAATGAGTTGTGGTCTTCTCGATTTGGACAGCGATAATG